AGGCGGCGGCGGCGGAGGTGGAGCTGGTAGAGGCGGAGCTGTGCAGCGGGGACCCCAGCAGCAGCAACGCTCTCGTGAGACCCCGTCGCCCCAGCAGCTTCGTGAGTGGTACGCGGGGCGCCAGGGGTCTGGGGGTGCTGGTCCCTGTACTTACGTCCTGCGCACCGGTGACCGCACTGGAGAGCAGTGTGGCGGCCTGCACGCCACCCAGCGCTGCTTCGGTCGCCTGACGGACGCCTGGCGTGCCCAGTTCCCGGACGCCACTGAGATCCCTCGTTGGGGAGATCTATTCAGGTCGGGGGTAGCTATCTTTGATCTTGACTTTGATGCTATTCTTGCTGCCATGTATGCTGTGTCTATTAGTGCTGAGGGTGACTGTTACGTGTGTGTTCCGCCTGACCCTGGTATTGAGGCTGCTGCTCTAGGTGCTAGTGAGTCTGCTGCTCCAGGTACTCGTGAGTCTGCTGCTCTAGGTGCTGGTGAGTCTGCTCTCTCAGGTACCGAGTCGGCTCAGGTCTTTCACACCTTCACCCTCGACTCGGGTGCTTCCCGCTCCTTCTTTCGAGACCGCACCACCCTTACGCCGCCCAGTCGGCCGGTTGCGGTCTCTCTGGTAGACCCCTCTGGGGGTCCTGTCCTTGCTCGCTACTCCACTGCCCTCCCGTGTCCGGCGGCCCCGTCAGGCTCCCTGTCTGGTCTCTACCTCCCCTCGTTCTCCACGAACTTGGTGAGTGGTGCTGACCTTCAGGATGCCGGCGTTGACCAGTTCACTCCTGCAGGTCAGCGAGTGACCCACTGCACGTGTGCTCAGACGGGCCGCCACTTGGCCTCGTTTACCCGTCGACCGGGGTCGAGCCTGTACACACTGACCACAGAGTCTCCTCCGGTCTCTGCGTCTGGTCAGGTAGCTGCGTCCAGTCAGGTGTTTGCTGCAGCGTCTCGGTCAGGTCCTGAGTCTGCCCCCTGCTCGTGTCGCCTCCTGTCCCACCAGACCCTCCTCTGGCACCACCGCCTTGGTCACCCCTCCTTGCCTCGACTCCGAGGCATGGCCTCCCGTGTCCTTGTCTCTGGTCTCCCCCGGTCCCTCCCTCCCCTTCCCCCGGGGCCTGCCCCTACCTGCGTTCCCTGCGTCGAGGGGCGGCAGCGCGCCGCTCCTCACTCCTCCGAGTTTCCCCCGACAGAGGCTCCGCTACAGACTCTTCACATGGACGTGTGGGGCCCAGCCCGCGTCCGTGGACAGGGTCACGAGCGTTACTTCCTGCTGGTGGTTGACGACTACTCGCGTTACACCGCTGTCTTCCCCTTGCGCAGCAAGGGTGAGGTCACTGAGGTGTTGATCGACTGGATCCGCGTTGCTCGTCTCCAGCTCAGAGAGCGTTTCGGCTCGGACTTTCCTGTTCTGCGTCTGCACTCCGACAGAGGCGGAGAGTTTTCCTCCGACCTTCTGCGAGCCTTCTGTCGTGCGGAGGGCATCCGCCAGACGTTCACGCTTCCGGCCTCTCCACAGCAAAATGGGATTGCTGAGCGCCGCATTGGCATGGTCATGGATGTCGCTCGTACGTCCATGATCCATGCGGCTGCTCCCCATTTTCTGTGGCCGTTCGCGGTTCAGTACGCGGCGCATCAAATCAACCTTCAGCCCCGGGTCTCTCTGCCGGAGACCTCCCCTACTCTGCGGTGGACGGGGAAGGTTGGTGATGCGTCTGCGTTCCGTGTCTGGGGATCTCGAGCTTTTGTCCGAGACTTGTCTGCGGACAAGCTGTCCTCCCGTGCTGTTCCTTGCGTCTTCCTCGGCTTTCCCCCTGACGCGCCTGGTTGGCAGTTTTACCACCCCACCTCGCGTCGTGTTCTGTCCTCCCAGGACGTCACGTTTGACGAGTCGGTTCCGTACTACCGTCTCTTCCCCTACCGCACTGCCCCCCTCCCCCCCCCGCCGCTCTTCCTCGCTCCCGGTCCCCCCCCGGTAGACCCCCTCCCCCCTCAGGGTCCTGCCCCCTCAGGTGTGTCCCAGGTAGATGCAGTCGAGCCTGTCGAGGTAGCTGCTGACTCTGGTGCGTCTGGGGGTGCTGAGCCTGAGCGTGCGGAGCCTGGGGGTGCTGGGTCTGGGGGTGCTGAGCCTGAGCGTGCGGAGCCTGGGGGTGCTGGGTCTGGGGGTGCTGAGCCTGAGCGTGCGGGGCCTGCGGGTGCTGCTTCTGGGGGTGCTGAGCCTGGGGCTGCTGGGAGTGGGGGTGTGGAGCCTGTCGGTGCTGGACCTGGCGGTCCTTCGGGTGCTTTGTCCCGGCGGGAGCTTCCCTCTCCACAGGAGCTGCGCGAGTGGTTTGCTCGCCGCTGGAGCCGTGCTACTGGAGCTGGAGGTGCTGCCGGTGCTGGAGGTTCTGCTGCTGCTGGAGGTTCTGGAGCTGGAGGTGCTGCTGGAGCCGGTACAGGAGGTTCTGCTTCTGCTGGGGGTGCTGGAGCCACGGGTCCCGGAGGTGCTCGTACTGGAGGTACTGGAGCTGCTGGGCCTGGTGGTGCTCCTGGTACTGGAGCTACTGGTGGAGCTGGAGCTGGTGGTGCTGCTGGAGTGGGTGCTACTGGAGGTACTGGAGCCGGAGCGGTTGTGTCTGCTGGTGGTCCTGCTGGAGCTGGAGCTGCTGGAGGTACTGGAGCTGGTGGTGCTGCTGGAGTTGGAGTTGACGCTGGGGGTACTGGTGTTGTCCCTGCTGGTTCTGGAGGTGCTGCGCGGCCGCGGCCGTACTTCGTTCCGCTCCTTGAGCAGGTTCTTGGTCTTCCGCCTTCTCCTAGTCCTGCTCCTTCCTTAGAGTGTCCTCCGCCTGTCCAGTCCGAGTCACAATTACAGCTGGTCTCCCCTCTGCCTGCTCCTTCTCCCTACGCTGGTCCTACTGGAGGTCTTGCTGAGCGTCGTGAGCCTGAGTTGCGTCCTGCGTCGCCTGTTCGCACTGCTCGCACTAGTCGTCGTGTTCCACGTCCGCGTCCTCCTGCAGTCCCGGGCACGCATCAGATGGCACTGCGTCCTTCCACTGCGCCACAGCGTGTCCCTTTGCCGTCTCCTCCAGAGTCCTCTCTTCCTGCTCTTGCTGACCCGGCGTCTGACTCCCTTCGTGCTGCCAGTCCTACTGTCACGCGTTTCCTAGCCACTGTTGTCACTGACCCTTCCTTTGAGTCCACGGCTGCGTCTGCCTTAGTTACCGAGCTTGTCGACTTCGCTGCTCACTGTCGTCTAGACTACGCCGCTAGTCTTGTTTCCGAGTCTGCGTCTGCGTCTGAGTCGGACGTCCTTGAGGACAGACAGGTCGAGTTTGAGTGCTTTGCCGCTGCTCTACCTCATCTCGTGCCCATGCTGCTTGCCCCTGAGGGAGACCCGGATGCACCAGACATCCCGACCCCGCGCTCTTACGCAGAGGCGATAGAGGGTCCTTACTCCTCTCAGTGGCAGGCAGCCATGGACGCAGAGATGGCTTCCTGGAAGTCCACAGGCACCTACGTCGACGAGGTTCCCCCACCTGGGGCGAACATCGTCAGTGGCATGTGGATTTTCAGGGTGAAGCGGCCGCCGGGTTCTCCGCCTGTCTTCAAGGCGCGTTACGTGGCTCGAGGCTTCAGTCAGCGGCAGGGAGTTGACTACTTTCAGACCTTCTCCCCGACCCGTCGCTGTTTCTTCGCACCGACAACTTACTGCCGCCGTTCTACATCCTCGTGTACGTCGACGACTTGGTGTTTGCTACAGCTGACACTGCTGGACTCGCCCACGTGAAGTCCGAGCTGCAGAAGAGACACACGTGCACAGACCTGGGTGAACTGCGCAGCTATCTTGGCTTGCAGATCACCCGGGAGAGAGCACGGCGCACCATCACCCTGACTCAGTCACACATGGTGCAGCAGGTCCTTCAGCGCTTCGACTTCACGTACTCCTCGCCTCAGGCCACTCCTCTGTCTACTCGCCACTCGCTCTCAGCTCTGCCTTCGGATGAGTCCGTAGAGCCGAGTGGCCCGTACCCAGAGCTTGTTGGCTGCCTCATGTACCTGATGACCTGCACTCGACCTGACCTAGCATACCCTCTGAGCATTCTGGCGCGCTATGTTGCTCCTGGGAGACACCGACCAGAGCACATGGCTGCAGCGAAGAGGATGTTGCGCTACTTGTGCAGTACTTCGGGCTTGGGGCTAGTGCTTGGAGGGCGGAGTCCAGTGGTCCTCACTGGTCACGCAGACGCGTCTTGGGTGGACGACCTGGCTACGCAGCGGTCGTCACAGGGTTACACCTTCAGCCTTGGTTCCGGCTCTGTTTCGTGGCGGTCTACCCGCTCGTCTTCTGTTCTCAGCTCCATCTGTGAGGCTGAGATCTACGCAGGGGCCATGGCTGCACAGGAGTTACGCTGGCTCACCTACTTGCTGACTGACCTGGGAGAGCCGCCTCGTTCTCCTCCAGTTCTGTACGTAGACAACAAGGCCATGCTGGCCTTGTGTCGGGAGCACAGACTGGAGCACAGAACGAAGCACATTGCTCTTCGCTACTTCCTTGCTCGTGAGCTGCAGCAGCGTGGCCAGCTGCGCCTTGCTTACGTGGCCTCTCAGGCCAACACTGCTGATATCTTTACCAAGGCACTTCAGCCTTGTGATCATCAGCGCTTCTGTACTATGCTAGGTCTTGTGCCTACTTGGCCTCACTTGCTTACCTCTTGACTTTGCTTGTTCTGTGATCTATTTATACCTGCACTTGCTTGTTTACCTTTATATATGAACTTGCATGTGAACTGGCCTTGTGGCCTTTGAACCTGTGCTCAGACTGTGTGGTGACGTTGTGATCCACCCTGAGCTTTCTTTGCTTTGCTTTGCTTGACTGGTCTTGTGACCCCTAGTTCTCCCCCACTTTGCCTATGGGGGTGTGTCAGATATATATACCTTAGCCTATGTAGGCTGTAGTGGGGTAGACACTAAGGGGTACAGGTTTCATATTTGTATCTCACACTTTCCTAGTTCATTCATTCCTGTTTCAATTTTCACAACACAAGCGACCAGACGAGAAGATATGAGAGTGTGCCGATCGTTACGACAGAATAAAGCAGAAGCAGATGGGAAAACAACGCTGAAGGGAACGGAAAACAACAGTCAGGTACACACCATGAGGTCTACGAGCATACCTGGAAGCTTGTTCCTGTAGAGCTTGTGCAGTTTAGCCAGCCATTTTTTGAAGTTTTCCACACGTTTGGCGTCGTCATGTACGTATGAGGCTGACCGAAATAGCTTACACCCCTCCAGCTCCTCCAGGTCGTTCATCCGCCACTCCAGCTCCTTGTCGACAGCACGCACAAACTTCAGCGACAGCTCGACACAAGCCGTTACATCTCCGTCCGGCTCCTGCCCTTCGATGGGATTCTCGTGCAGCGTGTAGCTGAATTTCACGGGGTTGCCGTCACTGTCCACGCCCTCTGCCTTCACCTCCCGCTTGTCCATCTTCTGATGGCGCTGAATGAAGTCGTTCAGTGTCATCTTCTCTCCACTCCCGGATTGATGATCTGGCGAAAAGTTTAAGTATCTGTTCTTCATGCGCATTCGTGTCTGGTCCACGAGATGAGACACGAGCGTGACGTCGATCTGTTCAGACAGCACAGAAGACAGGGTTAGCGACACTCCTTTCTGGGCGTAAGTAGTCTATGAAATTCAGATTCGTTTACCTGCCGTTGCTGGAACCGTTGGTTCAGATGGTTCAGCTCCCACAACACGTCAGCAAGCAGCCGGAGCAACCACTGAAACTTGAACGACGTGGCAATCTCGTACAGGTCATTGTTGTACTCTTTGAGCACCACGATGGCTGCAGGCAGGATCTCGAGGAAGCGTCGGACGGCCTCACCACGTGACAGCCAGCGAATGGTGTGTATCCCTTGTGCCTCCAGGTTCGTCTTGCAGAAAACATGCTGAATGTTATGAAACTTTTCGTACTTGACGTTGGATCGCGAGATGAGATCTGCAAAGCCACGGATGACGTCGTCAACCATGTAAAGTTCTGGCACAGCATCCGCGGCATCGCTTGCGGCTAGAGCCTCCCTGCCAAGTAAACAAATTACGAGTTATGGTAATGAAGTTAAAAATGGTGCATCGCTTTCCCACCGAGTGCACGGAGAGACACTCACCGATGAGCGACACAGTGCGTGGAGGCGAGGTGCGGGATCCTCATGCGCAGACGGGCGACAACCCCGTTGTTCTTGCCTGTCATGACACTAGAGCCGTCCGTTGAAATGGCAGAGATCTTCTGGAGATCCAAGCCAATCCCTGTCAGGTACTGCACCACAGCAAAGGTCAGAGAGGTTGCATCAGCACGGTCAACAGTGATGAGCGTTATGAACTCGTTGACCACACCCGTGCCACGGAAAAAAGTAGCGTAAACTATTAGATGTTTGCCGTGGATTCGGTCTGTGCTCTCGTCCAGTGACAAGCCAATCCAAGGCGACTCCAGCAAGTGCGATCGTTGCAGTTCTTGTAGGTACGTGGAGATGGCCCGGAGATTCTCTCTGAAGCCATATCTGCACATAACAACAGATAACAACATCAGTATATGTGAATATCACCCGTGGCTACCGTTAAAAAACATGCGCTTACTCAGTGTAGTAGGCGCCATATCCGCCACCGTTCGGAAGGTCTGGAAGGCCTTCCTTTGCCAAGAACCAGCAGAGCGGGATGAACATCGAGACGGGTGCATCCGCCCTGCAGATAAAAAGCGCAATATGAAGCACGCGAATGATGTGACGCGTAGACGCGTCAGTTGTCTGCCACCGATTTAGTTTCGCCTGTTTCTCCTTCTCAGCTGCAGCTTCTTCTTGGTTCTTGACTGCGCTCTTGTGGGCTCGTGTTGAGGAATGGGCCCGGACGCTTCCTATCTGCAGGTCGCGGCCACCTTCACCTCTCACACCGTAGCTAGTGTGAGCTGCGGGGTCGCCATGCTGCACACAGATGTCACACTTGAGTTTTGCTTCTCCGTTAGGCATCCGAATAAGACGCAACCACTTGAATTTACCTTTCCACTCCGACTCAAAGCGATGCTTTATGGTCTCGTAGAGAACGTCACCGGTAGTTTTAGCGGGCGCCTCGTCTTGGGTCGCTACTGGACGTTGCGGTGAAGCTTCTTTTCGGGGTGGCGGGGCTCCCCATAGCCGCTGCTGCGTGTACTTCGCTCCCAAACGCGGGCGTTTCCCCGGGGTGCTGTTCACAGTGGACGGTGAACCCGCGGAGGGTCTAGACGACCCTTCACCACCGCCTGGCACGAGAACAATTGACGGGTGCGGCTCCCAGTCAGCAGGAGTCGACGGCGGCTCGAACGGGTATACAATACCCACACTACGCACGGGAGAAGCGGGTGGTGGCAACGGCGAGATGGGCACGCTGTAGGTCTCAGCAGGGAGAGGAATAACTCCCAGCACAGAAAGGCCATTACGCACTACCGCGGGAGATTGAGGAGTTTGCTCGGCAGGCATGACTACCACATGTGAGAGACCTCCCAGGAGGTGGTTCTCACACCGAGGGTATGAGAAGGATGAGAAAGATGGGATGTTCTTGGGATAACGACCCCCTCCTCCAACACCCGTGATGACCCCGGAACGCATAATTGCATGGCTCACGGTGGTCAGTTGTGGCTGCCAGGAGGTGCCCTGTTCAGCACGAAAGGACGATGGCATGCCCCGCTGTCCTGTCGGCGCGCTGCTAGACAAGTCTGGCAGCTGTCAAATGCTGCTCTGGCCTTGATTCTGTGTTGCGCTGGCACGGTGGCTGCCAGTTCCACCAATGTGGTACTTTCGCGGCACGACGCCCCGAAATTCGCGTGACTCCACCTGGGGGTGATATTGTTTTTTGTGAGTGTTGGTCTTGTTGTCCGTTTCGCATTCTGTTAAGGTTTGAAATCCTCGCTTGCAAGAAATCCGTATCAGTGTAACTGGAAAAGTACCCTGTACAGTCAGGGAAAATTTTGAGGCACGCTGTATTTCAAAGGGTAAAAAAAATATTACACTTAATGGCCTAGGGTAAAAATCCCACTACCCTGCCTGGGAAAGGGTAACTGAAAAAAGCGGCCGCCAGTCAGTGCAAAAAGGGTATTTTACCCTGATAACGAGAGCCCTGATCATGACTTGAAGAGTTTGAAGACTTGAAGCTTTTATAAACATCGTACGTACCCACATAAAAACCAGCTAAGCTTGAGAGATTTTAGTACAGAGATGCATTCCACAACTGTTTCCCCTTCATGTATTGCTGTAGCAAGCTACAGCACTATTTCAAAGAAGGGGCATGCAGAGCAGTGAGCGAGGAGGGCGGTGACGCCGTGGCTCCTGTGGAGCGTGAAGGAGGGCAGCGCAGGGCAGTCCACGGCGTGCTGCCACGTCACCTCCTGCAGCCGCGCTGCCAGATGCTCTAATGTCACCTGCACAGGGGTGTGCGGGCAGTGGGAGATGCAGAGTGAGTGAGGCGACTGGTACACCTGCGTGCACATGCTGCCATGTCCCTTGCTGCAACCACTTCAAACACTCGCCAGAGGAGAAGGGTCATTGCTGCCAATGGCAGCTGCTGCTGCACAGGGTGCAGACACAGGCGGGTGAGGGGTGTGCGAGTGAGAGAGGCGTCAACCACACCTAATAGCACATCCTGCTCTGTGCCTCACTGCAGCTGCACTTGTGCCTCACTGGTTCGACGAGCGGACAGAGGAGGGAAAGTGAGTTTAGGCATTAGCACTCCGACGGTGTGAGCCTGACTGATGTGTCATTGGGAACGGCAAAACGGAGGAAAGCTGTGGAAATGGAGGAGAGGTGCAGAGGGAAGGGACGGTGCACAAGGGAGGAAAGGTGGAGCAGCAAAGAGAAGCAAGGGCATACGTGGTCGTGGTGTGTGTGGAGGGAGAAGAGGCCGCAGGAGCACTCAATGGTGGCGCCGTGCATGTGCAGGGAATGCGCCTTGCACAGCGGGCAGATCACCGTCGCCTCCTGCCCACCCAGCGGTAATGCGCAGAGATGCATGCGCGCACAATCAAGGAAGGAACGCTCGGGCAAAATATTGGCTTGAAGTGGGCGATTAGGGTCGTACAAAAATCATATTGTGCCATAACGGGCAAAAGACGCATCTGTGGTGTTCAATGGCACTAATGACACGCATGGAGCAGGCGGAAGGGGCATGGCAACACATAGGGGCATGGCAGCAAGAAGGAACATGGCAGCCAGGAGACACGGCGACACTGGCTGTGTGGTGGTGTATGGAGAGAGAGAGTACCCGCTGATAAGCGAGAGTACCTGCTGATAAGAGAGAGTACCCGCTGATAAGCGAGAGTACCTGCTGATAAGCGAGAGTACCCGCTGATAAGCGAGAGTACCTGCTGATAAGAGAGAGTACCCGCTGATAAGCGAGAGTACCTGCTGATAAGCGAGAGTACCCGCTGATAAGCGAGAGTACCTGCTGATAAGCGAGAGCACCTGCTGATAAGCGAGAGTACCTGCCGATAAGCGAGAGTACCTGCTGATAAGCGAGTGCCGCCATGATCTCAGCATCCTCCATGCCCTGCTGGTATGCCTCCTCCTCCTCCATGCTCCAATGGCCTGATGCTCACATGGGTGAGAATGGCGGACAGATGGGTGAGGGTGGCGGACAGATGGGTGAGAGTGGCGGACAGATGGGTGAGAGTGGCGGACAGATGGGTGAGATTAGAGAGGAGGAAGGCGATTAAGGAGTGAGCGCCACTCCCACCTTCTCAGCCAAAGCATAATGCCCCTGCGGCGCGCCCACATGCATATAGCACACAGAACAGACCACAGAGCGTGTGCCTCACGCCAGACGGACACATATGCGGCACGCGTGCACAGACGACTGCACCCATTCCATCCCTCTAACCATCGCCATACACCTGCACCCAGTACGCCGCTTGCACAGGCACCCCATACAATGGCACCATCCTTGATCACACACGCGCAAACACGCCAGTCACCCCCTCACCACATACCCCAGCGGGGCGGATCCAGGTGGGCATCATCATGCTCATAGAGCGCCGTCTGCATGTCCAGCAGCAGCAAACCATGGCACCCCGCATCACATACCCGAGGGGAGGGGTGGCGGCTGGGCATCATCAGCATGAGCATCATCATCATCCTCATAGAGCGCCCTCTGCATGTCCAGCAGCAGCACACCATGGCACCCCGCATCACATACCCGAGGGGAGGGGTGGCGGCTGGGCATCATCAGCATGAGCATCATCATCATCCTCATAGAGCGCCCTCTGCATGTCCAGCAGCAGTGCCTCGTACTCCTCCGCGCTCAGCTGCAACACGCCATCTGCATCCTCCCACCGCCCACCTGCCTCCTCATCGCTGTCCCACTCGCCTCGCCCCCTCGCCCCGCCTCCCACCTCCCCTGCCCCGTCGCCCCCATAGTGCATCGGGTCACATGAGGACCATTCATGCTCCCACGCCCACACTTTGTGCTCGCCCCTCCCTGCCACCGCATTATGCAACTCCGTTTCGTGCTCCAGCGCTGTGGCGTGCCCCATGCCACCACCACCACCATCACGGCTGACATCATCACATCCGCCCCGCAGCCGCTGCAGCTCCCCAAACAGCACTCTCCGCAGCTCTGGCCGCGCCCCTCGCCCCTCCGCGCCCATCCCATGCGCCAAGTCTAACTGCGCCCCCCTCGACCCCTCGTTCCGCCCAGCAGAAACCCCGCCAGAGCCTGCGTGCCCCTCCCCTGCCCAGCGCTCGCCCATCGCCATCGCCACGCCCTCCATGCGCTCGCCGTCCCGCACGCCCCCATCGCTCTCACCCTCCCTACCGCGCTCACCCTCCTCACCGCGCTCCATCCCCCCATCGCGCTCACCGCCCTCACTGCGCACTCGCGCGTCTGCTTGCCAGCACGACTCCGCTCGACCTGCTCCCCCCGGCTGCTGCGCGCCCATGCACACGAGCGCTGCTGACGTGGTTGGGTGCGGTTGGACGGAGAGGAGAGGGTGGAGAGCGGCAAGGGAAGAGGGCGAGGGAGCGGAGGAGACAGCAGGCTGGGAGAGCGAGGAGGGCGAGTGGGAGTGAGAGAGGGAGTGAGAGTACGAGAGGGAGGAGGTTGAGGTGCGCGATTGTGGTTTGGAGAGCGAGAGGGAGCTGGGGGACAGCGGGGAGTGGATGGCGGAATATGAGGCGAGGGGCACGTGCACGGAGGCGGAAGGGGAAGCAGACGCGCGCATGTCCCAGAGCAGGCGGTCGCGATTGGCGCGCACGCGGTGCAGACACATGACACGCAGCTGCGGCGGGGGGGGGGTGGGGGTGTGGGTGGGGGGGTGAGGAGATGAGGGGTGGCAAGGTAAGTGGTTGGTGGCGTGAGTGCGCAAAGGAGGATCGCATTGCTGTGAGAGTTCTAGAAGATAGATACGAACGGACCTTCTCTTTCATGTGCGACCGCAGAGGTCCCTTTATCGGTGCTCTCTCCATTCCGCTGGAGCACACTCGCCTATGTGCGGAGTTGATTCCGTCAACCCTGGATCACGACCCAAGTGGCCACGCTCGCACACACTGTGCAAGCAGTGTCTAAACGACACAGGGACAGACGCTCCAGGAGCTCGGGAATTGCTACCACTTCAGCCCGCTTACGACACGAAAGTCAGCGCGACTAAGGGCGTGGTAAAAGTGTCATCAATGACTGGATGTCGATCCGTCACCGCACTGTAATCACGCGTATTGCATCTAAGACTACAGAACCTACTCCAACGCCATAAAAAAATGATATCGAAGGCGATCGATCTTGCCGAGATCGACACTTTTACCACGCCCTAACGACCTACCTATCTCAAAACGAGTCAACTAAAGTTCTAGTCACTGTTGAAAATGATTGTCGCATGTGTCGTAGCGAAGTGTGACGGCGAGGCTTCACGGTGAAGCTGGAGGCGGATTCAAACTTTGAAACATCTGACATACCCGCTGTTAGGCGTTGCGTTATTTGAGCAATGTCAATACATGACCAAGTAGAAGCTATGAGCCAAATGTACTGTTCAAACATTGTCACAAATAGTGAAACAAGTGCAGATACATGGGTAAAGAACCACCTTTGAAGATGTTCTGGAGCATATATGGCTTGCCAAAACCTTGAGAACCTGCGGTGAGGTCTGATGTAAGAAGACTTTATCGGAAGTAGCTTATAATGAAAATGTGTCTTTTTTTCGGACCAATTGTCTTCAATTCCGGCTTATCTCTTGTGAGGAACCAGACCCGCAGTTCACATATAAGTATTTGAACCCCCCCCACACCCCCCTTCTCCCCCCCCCCCCCCCCCCCCCCCGCTCCTCCTCTCCCTGTCAAACTTATATATGCTATAGTCTGTTTAGGCTGTAGTGGGGTAGTCCTTAGAGGGTACAACACATTTGTGTTTTCTACTTGTACCCCACCTGTTCCTTAGTTCATCCATTCCTCTCATTATTCTCACTTGGTATAGAGCAGGTTCCCTAGTGGAACTGTTTTTTTTTAGGGCCCACCACTACGATTTTTTTTTTTTTCCTTACCTGCCCGAAGCGCTTTTCGCGTTTGTCCTAGCAGCGCCCCGTGCGCCTGCCCTTCGCGGCCCTTCGAGGCCCCAAGCGGCCCTTTGCGGCCCCCCTTTGCGGCCCTTCGCGGCCCCTTTCGTGGCCCTTCGCGGCCCCTCGCGGCCCTTCGCGGCCCCTTCACGGCCCTTCGCGGCCCCCTTCGCGGCCCCCGTTCGCGGCCCTTCGCGGCCCCTCGCTGCCCTTCGAGGCCCCTTCGCGGCCCCTTGCGCGGCCCTTCGAGGCCCCTTCACGGCCCTTCGCGGCCCTTCGCGGCCCTTCGCGGCCCCCTCCCGGCCCTTAGCGGCCCTCTTCGACGGCTCTTCGCGGCCCCTTCCGGCCCTCTGCTGGCGCGCCCCTCTGCTGACGCGCCCCGCTGACGCGCCCCTGCTGGCGCGCCCCTCTGCTGGCCCCTGCTGACGCGCCCCTACTGGCGCGCCCCTGCCGGCCCCTGCAACCGAGCCCCTGCCGGCCCCTGCTGGCGCGACCCCTGCTGGCGCGCCCCTGCCGACCCCTACAAACGAGCCCCTGCCGGCCCCTGCTGACGCGGCCCCTGCTGGCGCGCCCCTGCTGGCCCCTGCAAACGAGCCCCTGCCGGCCTCTGCTGGCGCGCCTCTGCCGGCCTCTACTGGCGCGGCCCCTACAGTCCCGGCCCGCCCCTGCACCCGTGTCTGGTAAGCCGAGCCGCGCCACCCTGCCGAGCTGCGCCGCCCAGCCGAGCCGCGCCGCCCATCCGAGCCGAGCCGCTCAGCCGAGCCGCGCTGCCCCCCCCCCCCCCCCCCCCCCCCCCCTCCCCCTACCGAGCAGCACTGCCTTGCGCTACTGCTTCTACTGCTGCTACTGCTGCTACTGCTGCTACTACTGCTACTGCTGCTACTCTTGCTACTGCTCCTACTGCTGCTATGGCTAGTCCGACTGTTCTCACCTTTGATGCTGAGGGACGTGCAGTTGATTTTGACGTGTGGGTTGACGACCTACAGCTCTTTCTTCAGTGTGATTCTAGGGATGGGGTATCCCTTTTCGATCACACGTCCGGTGTTTCCACTGCTCCTGCTGCCACTGCTGACAGTACTGTTCGCTCGCAGTGGACCACTGGTGACGCTGTTGCTCGTCTTGCTGTTCGTAGTCACCTGCTGCCTGCTGAGCGCGCGCACTTTGGCCAGTACAAGACTGCTCAGTCTTTGTACGACGCTGTAGTTGCACGCTACTCCTCCCCTGCCACTGCTGCCCTCAGCCGCCTCATGCTGCCATACCTTTTCCCTGACCTTGCTGCCTTTGCCACTGTCGCTGACCTAGTTGCTCACCTTCGCACTAGTGACGCCCGCTACCGCGCTGCCCTTCCCACTGAGTTCTGTGCCAAGAACCCCCCCCCCATGTACATCACCCTTTACTACCTAGTCACCCGCCTCCCTGACTCCCTCTCTTCAGTCAGGGACCACTTTCTCTCCCTTTGCCCCACTGAGCTGACTGTCGACCTGCTAGAGGAGCGCCTTGCTGCAGCTGAGAAGAGTATCTTAGCTGTAGGTGCTTCTCGCGGCGACCGTCGCACCCCCTTCTTTGAGGGGTGTTCCCCTGTCCCCCTTCTCCCCTCTGTTGCTTCTGCTGCTGCTGTCGACCTCGTTGGCACTGAGGAGGTCGGCGCTGCGTCTGCCCCTAGTGGGAGACGCCGCACCAACAAGGGCAAGGGGAGCAAGGGTGGTGGAGGGGGCGGCGGGGGAAGCAGTGGAGGAGGTGGAGGCGGAGGAGGAGGTGGCGGTGGAGGTGGGGGTGGTACCGGGAGTGGGGGCGTCAGTGGCGGCGGTGGAGGTCGGGGCGGCGGTGGCGAAGGAGGTGGAGGCAGCGGCAGCGGTGGTGGAGGTAGCGGCGGAGGTGGTGCTGGTCGAGGTGCAGCCGCGCAGCGTGGAGGCTTTGGTGGCAGCCAGCGCCAGCAGCAGCTGCGCACCCGTGAGACCCCGTCGGTTCAGCAGCTTCGTGAGTGGTACGCTGGGCGTGGGAGGTCTGGGGGTGCAGGTCCCTGCACTTACGTTCTTCGCACCGGCACTCATAGTGGGGAGGTGTGTGGGCTCCCACACACCACACAGCGCTGCTTCGGTCGCTTGAGTGACGCTTGGCGTACCCAGTTTCCTGACGCCGTTGAGCTTCCTCGTTGGTATGATCTGCTTCTGCAGAATGTGCCTATCTTTGATCTAGACTTTGATGCTATCCTTGCTGCCATGTATGCTCTTGCTGATAGTGCTGAGGGTGACTGTTACCTGAGTGTCCCGCCCGACCCGGGCATTGCGGCTGCTGCTCTAGGTGCTAGTGCGTCTGCTGCTCCAGGTACTCGTGCGTCTGCTGCTCCAGGTGCTGGTGCGTTTGCTCTCTCTGGTACTGCACCTACTGAGTCCTTGCACACTTTCACACTTGACTCTGGTGCTTCGTGCTCTTTCTTTAGAGACAGCACCACTCTCACGCCGCTCAGTCGGCCTGTTGCGGTCTCCCTTGCTGACCCCTCTGGGGGCCCAGTCCTTGCACACTCCTCCACGGTTCTACCGTGTCCTGCGGCCCCGTCGGGCTTGCTGTCGGGACTCCACCTCCCCTCGTTCTCTACGAACTTGGTGAGTGGAGCTGACCTCCAGGACGCGTGGGTTGACCAGTTCACCCCTGGAGGTCAGCGTGTGACCCACTGCACTTGCTCTCGGACGGGCCGCCACCTGGCCACGTTCACCTGTCGGCCAGGGTCGAGTCTGTACACACTGACTACTGCGCCTCCTCCGGTCCCTGCGTCTGGTCAGGTAGCTGCGTCCAGTCAGGTGTTTTCTGCCGCGTCCAGGTCTAGTCCTGCGTCTGCCCCCTGCTCGTGTCGTCCTCTGGTGCACGAGACTCTTCTTTGGCACCACCGCCTTGGTCACCCCTCCCTGCCTCGTCTTCGAGGTATGGCCTCCCGTGCTCTTGTCTCTGGACTCCCCAGGTCCCTCCCTCCCCTTCCTCCGGGACCTGCCCCCACCTGTGTTCCTTGTGTCGAGGGCCGGCAGCGCGCCGCTCCTCACTCCTCCTCGTTCCCTCCGACTGAGGCCCCTCTGCAGACTCTTCACATGGACGTGTGGGGCCCAGCCCGCGCCTCCGTGGACAGGGTCACGAGCGCTACTTCCTGCTGGTCGTTGACGACTACTCGCGTTACACCACAGTCTTCCCCTTGCGCAGCAAGGGTGAGGTCACCGAGGTGTTGATCGACTGGATCCGCGGTGCTCGTCGCCAGCTTAGTGAGAGTTTCGGCTCAGACCTTCCTGTTCTGCGTCTGCACTCAGACAGAGGCGGGGAGTTTTCCTCCGACCTCCTGAGAGCCTTCTGTCGTTCGGAAGGCATCCGCCAGACGTTCACGCTTCCGGCCTCCCCGCAGCAAAATGGGATTGCTGAGCGCCGCATTGGCATGGTCATGGACGTCGCTCGTACGTCCATGATCCATGCGGCTGCTCCCCATTTTCTGTGGCCGTTCGCGGTTCAGTACGCTGCGCATCAGATCAACCTTCAGCCTCGTGTCGCCTTGCCGGAGACCACACCTACTCTGCGGTGGACGGGGAAGGTTGGCGATGCGTCCGCGTTTCGTGTCTGGGGATCTCGAGCTTTTGCCCGCGATACTACAGCGGACAAGCTGTCCTCCCGTGCCGTTCCCTGTGTCTTCCTTGGCTTCCCTCCTGACGCACCCGGGTGGCATTTCTACCACCCCACCTCGCGTCGTGTTCTGTCCTATCAGGACGTCACGTTCGACGAGTCGGTGTCGTACTACCGTCTCTTTCCCTACCGCACTGCCTCTCCCCCCCCCCCCGCCGCTCTTCCTCGCACCAGGAACTCCCCCGGTAGACCCCCTACCCCCCGAGGGTCCTGCCCCCTCAGGTGTGTCCCAGGTAGACCCTGCCGAGCCGGTCGAGGTAGCTGTCG